CAGCTTTTCTGAAATTGAAGCAGTGGAGACAAAATCAATTAATGTTTGAACACTGAGACCAGTCCTAGAATAGGCAAGTTGGGGCATTTCCAGCCAAAGAACCTTCCCATTGAGCCAAACACCTGATTTTACACTTAAAATGAAGTCGGGGTTGGCTGATCGGTTGTGTGTTGTTGAGTATTAGATGTGTCAGGATGCGTAGACTTTACCCTCATGGGAGTGTTTATTATTTGCAAGTCTAGTGCTCTTAGAGAACTAAGCACCAATGTGCACCTGTTTTTTCTGACCAACAGGTTAGCAGAGAACTAATAAAGGTCTCAATCAACCCTATTTCATTTGGTCAACAGAAAAGGCTACCTTCTCCTGTTCCTTCAGTTTCATGTTGGAAAGAAACACTCCCTTTCTATTTACAAGTAAAAAAAAAAAAGTTGCTGGCATTTGAGAACTTCTCCTACTGGTGACTGCCAAGATCCTCTCTCTTTATGCATTTGGAGCCAGGGCTGAGAGCAGCCATCATGGCAGAGTAAGCAGAACATGAGGTGGTCAAATCAGATGTCTTCTCCTTTGGTCACACGTCTTTGCAACAGTAAACTGTAGAACAATTCAATGCAACTTCAGCAGTCAATCCTCCAAAGGTAGCTTTTTGTTTGAAAGAAAGGTGAAGATATGGAAAGGAAGAAGCGAGCATGAAGCCAAACCCCCAATCATACTGTCATGTGAATAGCGGGAAGACTCAACTCAATGTGCAGCTGGATCTCTTCTCCTGCCCAGAGTGATAGTAGTGAGGGAATGAATGAAGATATCACCAGTCCACACACATACAGGACTGAGGAGAAATTCAAAACAGAAAATCATAAAGGAAATTACCCAGCATAATTGTTCCTGCCACTTCCATCCTCAGGTAGCATGGCACTTCACAAATGAACACCCATCAGTGTTCCAAGCCCTCACTTTCATTACAACTGACCTCTTTTAATACGACAAAGTGGGAAAGAAGGAAGTCAGCTAGGGCTGAGAGATGAACAATTGCCCAGTATCACCGAGGTGGCTTTGGTGCCTCTCTCAAACCAGAACTGAAAATTCCAGAATTGTTCATCAAATGCTATAAGAGCTACTTCAAACTGGCTCTTTAAAAAAAAGAAGAAGAAGAAGAAAGGAAACAAATGCACAGGGAATGCATAACTGGAGTTCCTTTATACTATTTACAGTACTAGATTAAAAAAGTTATGTAACACTTAATATTTTCTTTTTTTAATTGTCCTGAAATTGAAGCAGAAGGTTTTGCTGGAGACAAGAATAAATTAACGTTTGAAAATAGAGGCGAGGCTTAGAAAACACAAATTGGGGCATTTCCAGACAAACAACCTTCCCATTGTGCCAAAGATCTCATTTTACAGGTCAAATGGCGTAGGGGTTGGCTGTTCTATTCTTTTGGGTACTAGAAGTCTCAGGATACCTGGACTTGACACTCATGGGTTTGTTTATGTTTGGAAGTCCAGTGCTCTTAGTGAACTAAGCGTCAATCTGTACATGTTCCTTCTGACCAACAGGTGAGCAGAGAACAAAGAACGGTCTCAGTCAACTGTAGTTCATTTGCTCAGCAGAGAAGCTGCCTTGTCCTGTTCGTTTGGTTTCATGCTGGAAAGAAAACCTCCATTTCTATTTACAAGTAAAAAAAAAAAAAAGTTGCTGGCATTTGAGAACTTCTCCTACTGGTCACTGCCAAGATCCTCTCTCTTTATCCCTTTGGAACCAATAACTCAGTCCTGACAGCAGCCTTCATGGCAGACTAGAGAGAACATGAGGTGGTCAAATCACATGTCTCCTCCATTCATCACACGTCTTTGCAACGGTAAACCACAAAAAGGGTTGCTTTTCATTTGAAAGAAAGGTAAAGATAGGGAAAGGAGGATCTGAGCATGAAGCCAAACCCCCAATCATACTGTCATGTGACCAGACTCAACTCAATGTGCAGCTGGATCTGCTCTCCCGCTGGGAGAGATACTAGTGAAGGAATGAATGAAGATATCACCAGTCCCCACACATACAGGACTGAGGAGAAATTCCAAGACAGAAAATCTGCTTTGGAAATAAACTAGCATTTGTGTTCCTGCCAATTCCGTCCTCAGGTGGCATGGCACTTGATAAATGAACACCTATCAGTGTTCCAAGCCCTCACTTTCATTACAACTGGGACCTCTTTTAATACGACAAAGTGGGAAAGAAGCCAGGGCTGAGAGATGACCAATGGCCCAGTACCACCGAGGTGGCCTTTGTGCCTATGTCAAACCAGATCTCAAAGTCCCCCAATTGCTCCTCAAATGCCGGAAGAGCTGCCTGAAACTGGCCCTTAAAAAAAAAAATGTCCATATGGAATGGAGAACCTGAGGTCCTTTAAAATATTTATAGTGCTTGATAGAACAGCTTTTGTAGACTTACCATTTTCTTCTTGTAGTTGCTCTGAAATGGAAGCAGAATGTATTTTTCAGTGGAAAATGCCTGATATCTTTAGCGATTAGTGAATATTTAAAAAGGAAACAAAATATATTTATCTCTTCTAGGCAATCAGAGCTCCCACTGTTGAAGTCACAGGCAGCAACCTTTCTTTATTCATGTTTTTGGTACACATTTGTGTGCCTTTGTTTTTGCAATGATATCAGACTGCTTCAGAGAACATATTCTTTATAGGAAGGTGCAAGCATGGCAGTTTGACCATTTTTGCACCCAACTCATTTTTATTATAAGAACAAGTCAAAATAGGTAGCCTATTTATTTTTCTATTGATGTATTTATTTTTAAACAGTTTTGTTGACAAAATTTTCAAACTGGCTTGTTGGGAAATCTTTCCTTGGACTGAGAGATGGAAAATGGCCCAGTACCATCTCGCTAGCTTTTGTGCCTAAGGTGAAAGTCAGCACCTCCCAACTGCTCATCAAATCCTTTAAGTGCTACAGCAAACTGCTATTTTAAAAAATCGGAAGTATGTATGGAATGCAGGAGCTGAGTTGCTTTAAACTATTTGTATTGCCTGATATTTTTAGCCATTAGTGAATATTTTTTAAAGAAACACAATAGATATATGTCATACTTACCATTTTCTTCTTTCAGCTTTTCTGAAACTGAAGAACATACTTTTCAGTGAAGAGAAGAATAAAGTAATGTTTGAAAATTGAGACCAGTGTTGTAATGGACAAACTGGGGCATTTCCAGACAAACAACCTTCCCAATGAGCCAAAGATCTGATTTTACAATGAAAATGAAGTCGGGGTTGGCTGTTCTATCATGTTAAGTATTAGTTGTGTCACAATACGTGGACTTTACACTCATGGGAGTTTTTATTATTTGCAAGTCCTGTGCTGTTACAGAACTAAGCGCTGATCCTCACCTGCTCTTTCTGACCAACAGGTGAGCAAAGAAGAAAGAAGTTTCTCAATCAACTGTTTTTCATTTGCTCAGCAGAAAAGGCTACCTTGTCCTGTTCCTTCAGTTTCATGCTGAAAGAAACCCTCCATTTCTATTTACAAGGTTAATAAAGAAGAAGAAGAAGAAGAAGAAGAAGAAGAAGAAGAAGAAGAAGAAGAAGAAGACGAAGAAGAAGAAGAAGAAGACGAAGAAGAAGAAGAAGAAGACGAAGAAGAAGAAGAAGAAGACGAAGAAGAAGAAGAAGAAGACGAAGAAGAAGAAGAAGAAGACGAAGAAGAAGAAGAAGAAGACGAAGAAGAAGAAGAAGAAGACGAAGAAGAAGAAGAAGAAGACGAAGAAGAAGAAGAAGAAGACGAAGAAGAAGAAGAAGAAGACGAAGAAGAAGAAGAAGAAGACGAAGAAGAAGAAGAAGAAGAAGAAGAAGAAGAAGAAGAAGAAGAAGAAGAAGAGCTGACATTTTAGAACTTCTCCTAGTGGTAACTGCCAAAATCCTCACACTTTTAAGCATTTGGAACCGATAACACAGTCCTGAGTGCAGCCATCATGGCAGACTAAGCAAGTCAAGTCAAGTCAAGTCAAGTCAAAATTTATTGATTACCCTTAGGCCATATCAAATACAAAATTTCAAACACAAAATATTAATAAAACCCTATGTAAAAACAAATTAAGTAAAATGGGGATAAAAGACAGTGATTAAATATACAAATGAGTGAGAGTACAAATATATTTCTGTGTCACCCCTACAATTTACCCCAATCAACCTTACGTATGCAGGGTCAGGTTCAGCCAGCGCAGCACTGCTAGGAACTTGCCCAGCTGCGCTGAGTCAGTTTCTACCACCCGCTTCCAAGCAGGGGAAAAGAGGAAGTGAAAGCCATGGCTGATTAACGAGCCACCTGTGCCCACTTAACAAGAAAATGCAGAGTGGAAGTTTTGTATCCACTCTGATTAGCTGTGAGTGCCGAGACAAAGGACTAAGCCGCGGCTTGTGGAAATACGATCAGCGCGCAATTGGGAAAACCCTGGCTTGGCGCGCAACCGAAAGGACTCAGAGGAAACACGACTACGCTGGCGGGGCAGAGCAATTAAGGGACAATGAGAACTGGGCTGAACCTGCCATTGGAGTAACAGGGGGGATTACTGGGGCAATTGGTAATCTGCAACCTGCAATATGTAACTTAACAACGGGGCAAAGCGCGGAAGGGGAGAACTATAAACCGTACCATGAAATGTGCCAAGCCAGTCCTGGCTTTGTTCGTAACTGCTGCGTTACGCTTGAGTAAATTTCTTTGTTGAACACACGTGTCACGAGAGTTTCTCTAGACGAACGGGGTAAACCTTACATGCAGATCTCAACCATATTGTTTTACTCAAGTACCGAGCTGTGTTATGTGTTATTTTCAAATTCTGACTACACATAAAATATGTTGTTTTAATATGGGGTTCCCAATGGGTCATTCGTTTAATGTGTGGTCCAAGATACACATCTCTCTCCTTCTTATATAGATTACAATCAAATAATATACAGTATGTGCTAAGTCTTCTATCTCTGATGCTCCACAGATACAAATAAGGAACATGATGAAACCTCCCATATCTAACCACTTTGTCAAGCTGGTCAAATCTCGCCCGGGTAAATACCTCCCTAAGGTGTTTTGGCATTAGTATCTTTAAATAGTTGGCAGTTTGAAAAGTATGTTTATATTGGCTCTGCCTTTTCAAATTGCCAACCTTACTCAAGGTGGCTATATCTTTCTGTGCTTCTACATCTGAGATTCTTTGAGCAGCTCACTTTTTGACTTGTTCTCCGGTTGCACAAGAGACAGGAAGACCACAGCTAATGGGTCTGTACTTACCAGGGTCCTTTTTATTCCCTTTCTTATATATGGGGACGACTATTGCCATCTTCCACCCAGCTGGGATATGGCAGGTGTTATTTATATGTGTAAATAGACCTGCCAATAGAGGGCCCCACCAGCCAGGGAATTTCTTGAATAGTTCTGCTGGTAGAAAATCTTCACCAGGCGCTTTATTACTCTTTAGGCCTTTTATAAGGGACTGTATCTGTTTTTCTGAGACTGGTAGCCAAGGGGGGAGGCTGCAATAGATGATCAATCACTGCTTAAGGACTGTTTCTCTCCAGATTCTGTTAAAGTAAACAAACATTGATAATAATTCTCCCAGTCCTCAGCGGAGATAGGTATATCAAATACAAATCTCCGTTTCTTTAGGATTCCTGCTACAGGATGCCAAAATATAACTGTATTATGGCTTTTTGCAGCCAGCTTGAGTTCTGAACAAATTGAGGGGGCATACCTTTTTCCCTTAATTTTATAAGTTTTTTATATTCTCTTCTTATGAACAACATCTCAGCTTGTATATGAGCAGTAGAACACCTCTGAGCAAGTCTCATGGCTGCCTTCAATTTCTTTTTCATCAACTGGCATTCATTGCCAAACCAGGGAAATCTACCTGCTCGAAAACTTTTGGTGGAAGATTTAGTTATTAGATTTTTCTTCAGCATGTTACACAAATGAATAAAAGCACTGGAAACTGACAGCCAGTCAGCCGTAGGTGACTGGATTGTTGTAGCCCAATTAACAGCATTCTCTACTTTGAGGCTGTCTAATATTGCCTTTGTATCTAATTTGACCCATAGCAGCCTTTTATTTTGACTCACCTCAGAATTATTAGTGACCCACCTGTCAGCCATGTTATATGGTCTTAAATCTGAATGACCCAGTAATTTCACACTCATTGGCTGGTAGTCACTTTCACCTCCTGGATATACAATAGCCTCTGAAAAGAGGTCAACTTTGTTTCTTGATACACAGATGAGATCTAACACACTGCTTGAGTGGGCTGAGTGGTACGTATATGGGTATATATAATTATTATCCTTACCTCCCAAGATCTGAAGGTTACATTTAAAGATTAAGGAGACTAAATACGAGCCAGCAATATTACTTTTGTTATCTCTTGAGAACCACTGTGGGTGATTATCAAGAAATTCATTTGGAAATCCTTTCTTTTGAGCAAACTCATGAAGAGATGGTCCTAATTTGGCATTAAAATCACCAAGTAATATAATTATAGATAGAGAATACAATGTGGTTATTTCATCCAATATTGTTTCTAAACTTATCCAGTAATCAGAATTATAGTAAGGGAATGTGTTTGGGGAATATATACATTTGCCAGTATTGACTCGAGCTCCTTATATCTACATTTTATGACTAGGAAATGTGAAAATTTATCTTCATTATATAATTTCTCCCCCTGCCATTGCAATTCCTGCTTAATAAGGATACATAGACCGCCAGAGGCTTTCCCTTTATTCTTTGATTTTGGGGCAGGGGAATCCCATCCTTGAAAACCTGGAAGTTGTACTGGTTCATATTCTCCAGTTAGCCAGGTTTCCTGGATGGCTATTTTGTCAAATTTAGAAAGGAAACCCACTAGTTCACTGTCAGCTGCTTCTTTCCAGTCAGCTATATTCCAGGTCACAATTTGTATAGGTCTCCCAAAGACAGAATATTCTAAATGGCGTGGTTGGCTGAAGAGTGAGGGTACAGCAGTCAATTTGTTTCTGGAGCTGGGACAATATTATCAATACTTCCCATATAAACACAATTATTATAAGATTCAACTTTCCTCATCATAGGTTGTAATTGTTGCTCTTTATCTTGGGTGCCAACATTCCACAGATTTTGATCTGATACTGGGGTTTCTGCTAATGGTAGAAAACTCAGTCCATCCCTTTTCTAACTGCTGGACTCGAAGTTGACTAATGTCAAGTTGGGGGCTGCTAACAAAAAATTGCTCCGATTCAAAATTTCCCTTAATGATGTTAACTTGTGATGATATAGAATGACAAGATATGGGTGGAGCACACCCTTGCTGAATGAAATCAGAATTAGAATCCACACTAAGTTCAACCGGATAAAGCAACTCTTGAGATTGCTCTGTCTGATTCTCCGATGTCAGTGATATTAAGTCACCAGCTACCGTTTTATCCTCTAAATGGTTAATTAAAACTTGTGCTATAATATCCTGCTGAGTATCCTTTTCCTTTGTATGTTTTTGCTTTGGGCTGGCACACCTTCTCTCTCTCTTTTTTTTTTATTGGAGATTTTGTGCTTTCAGAAACTGGATTCAGTAACATTTCCACACAGGAGCAGCTAGAAGGGAGTCAGGTGTTAAGAGTTTCTGTTGCATTAGTTACTGATTTCAGCATTGATCTTACTATTTCAATTTTGCTTAAAATCAGTTGTTGTTCCCTGGGGGAAGGGTGGCAAACAGATGGATTAATTCTTCCTCATCATCTAAAAAATGTATCTTTCCACTAAGTAAATCTAAGATCTCTTTTTCATTATCCTTATCTTGTTCTGTCCTTGTTAATAGAGGACAGATTGCTTTACAGATGTGATGGAATGGAATTATGAAGGCCAGGCTCAGGGAGATAAGCGTTTTCTTAGTTCACTGCAAGAGCGTGGGAACTTCAAGAAGATAAGTCTGGCACCTCCCTGAGGAATTCATAGTGTTGTGGCTGGCTGGCTTTGGGGCTTGGGGTTAGTCTGGGGGGATTTTTTCTAGAGGTTGTAGTTAATAAAGACAGCTGAACTGATTTTGCATTGTCTCTTGGAGTTCTTTGGGCTAAACCTGACAGCAGATAATGAACAGTTACAATTTTCAAGGTTCATGTCATCCTCCCTCACTGACTTAGCTCTCCGCCCAGACTTTAGCAGAGACTGAGTTTGGGTGTTATAAAATATACATATTGGCTGGATATAATATTTCCTTAAAGAATTTTCAAGCCTAAAAAGCATCGATGGAAAAATAATGTGTCCAAAAGTTAACAATATTCTTTTACATCCATGCCTGCTAGGCAGCCAAGAGATCTCTTACTTCATTTGAATATAACCTGCAATGTAGAAGTTGAGAATGAGAGTTCGGTATTACTCATCTATTATGCCACCTGCCCCTATTCAAAGGTGCATCAGCAACTTGAAGTAGAATCCTATTTCTCTGCAAAACTAGCCTCTCCTCCATGTCTTCTCCATCTAAGAATCCCCATGCTCATGCTGTCTGTGGATTAGGGGTCAGTTTTGAAGCGTGGGAGTTACTATTTACTTCCTTATCTAATTTGGAGATATAATTTCCCATTAAAGTCTTTAGTTTGTCTATCTTTTTATTAGCTTCCAAGAGCTGATCAAATATAGCAATGACTGTTTGAGCTGTTAAAAGACAGTTCTTGGCAACCAGATACAAATCTCCTTTAATGTTGCTCGTTTTGTCCACATCCTCCCCTCTATCTCCTATTAAAGCCTTATTTTCAGCAGAAAGGCCATCATCCACATCCCAGTCCAATGAGGAATAAGAATTATTAATGGAGGTTACAAGGGGAGAAGAAGAAGGGAGAGGAGACTTAGTTGCACTATACATTAGCTGGAATGAATCCTTTATCTTTGGTTGCCTAAAAGTCATCGCACCCTTGTCTTGTTTAGGATTTCCTCTCCGCCGAGTCTCCAGTTTGTGCCTCCTTTTGAACTTTCTTTTCAAATTATTTTTGTTTTTGCTTTCTGATCTTGCATCCTTAGCTGGCACTCAGGATTGTAAACCATACTCTCACTTCACTTCAGGTGTCCGAAGCTGATAGGTTCCAGAGTCCAGAATCTAAAATCTTAAAGCCTAATCCTATCTAATCCTCTCCTTCATGGATCACTGCCTTGTCGTGGCGAAGGGGCTTGCGTAACTCAGTGAAGCCAT